TTTTGGTACATACCTGAAAACAATTAAAAAGCAACCAAATGATGATTGTTGGTACTGCAGCCAGAGAGACACTCCGGAGCACCCCATTTTTGACTGTGAAATGTTTCAGACACCAAACAGAAATAGCGTGCGGGAGGCAGATCTCAAAGAAAAACATAGGGGAAATAATACTGGAGACTAAATCTTCGTGGATGTCCATAACGAACATGTTGAGACAGATTATGAGATTAAAGGCGAACGAAGAAAGAAGGCGGGAATTAGAGGCTAGATACCAATACGAATAATTACGTAAACAAATATTGAAAATTTTAGTCTGATTGATATTGATCCCTTGATGAAATGCCGAAAGGCGGTTCCAAGGTTACGTAGAGGAAAGAGTTTTTAGTCGGTCGATGATCTCTTGGGACATCACCCCGGCACACCCCCAGGCGCCAGATCACCAGCCTGGGATAGTCTGTTAGCAGATTTTCTTAAACCTCTATAAAAAAAAGGGTTAGTTTGGGTTAGTTTGGGTTAACAACAAAATTTTTGAAATGACATGTGGGGTGCCCCAAGGATCCATACTATCACCCTTGTTATGGAACATATTTTATGACCGAATATTACGGATCGAAGTGGAGGAAGGCGTCGAACTGATTGCGTATGCCGACGATCTTGCAATCGTAGTAAGGGCCAAGACAAGAAGCAAACTAGAAGACAAAGCGCAATTGCAGCCACGATACTGACCAGGAACCTTGCGAAAATGAATATTTCGGTTGCAACCGCGAAGATAGAGATGCTCATTATGGCCGGTAGAAGAAAGATGGTGGAAGCTGAGGTCAACCTAAATAACACCACAATAGGGGGCCAGAAAGTGGTGAAATATCTAAAATTATACATAGATAAGGATTTAAGAATGACCTCGCATGTCACGAAAATAGCAGAAAAGGCGAACATGATGCTAAATCTACTTACCAGAATAATGCCAAATGTTGGAGGACCTAAAAGTAACAAAAGAAAAATTATATATAGCGCAGTCATATCGGCAATTGTGTATGCTGCACCGATGTGGGCGCATGCAAGACGGCATAAAAATTATCTCAACACTTTGGAGAGGGTAAATAGAAGAATTGCTATAGGCATAACCTCGGCCTRCAGAACGGCCTCGAAGTGCTTGCTGGATTACCATCAATAGACTTGGCCATAAAGGAGAGATGCAAAATGCATAGCAACGGAAGGCAAAGCAAGGGCGATGCGAGGGAGCAGCTGATTCATGAGTGGCAGAGAAGATGGGAAAGATATGAAGGGTGTGCAAGACATTTTATCAAAGACGTAAGAAGGTGGATTGGTAGGAATGGGGGAGAGATAGATTACTACATAACACAGGCGATGACCGGCCACGGAATCTTTGGATCCTATCTGAAGAAGATTAAAAGGGCGGAAACAGATTAATGCTGGTTCTGCGGACACCAGATTACGCCCGAACATACAATCTTTGTATGCACAAGTGCTAGAGACCTGAGAGAGCAAGCAGCGGGAAAGTGTGGATACGAAATAACAATAGAAAACGTCGGGAGATTACTCATGGAAAGGAAAGAAAACCTAGAGGCAATCATGGGTATGTTGAGGGAAATTATGAAGAGAAAGGAGAAAGAGGAGAAACGTAGAGAGGAGATAGGAGACTAGAGGTCAAATTCTCCGAAGTAATGCTTAACGGCGGTTCCGGGAAGAGTAGGGTTTTAGTGGGTCGGCCTGGCCGAAGTCCCACACTACCCTGTGGCGGCTGAACAACAAGTCACAGGGTGTGCATAGATACCCATTTCCAATCCCTACTAAAAAAAAGGGTTAGTTTGGTTTAACCAAAAAAAACCAAACTAACCCTAAACATACATGATTTACAACTTACTTTCCCATTCTTATTTTTGAAATATTATGTTCAGTGTATAATAAACACTTTTGTTTAGGTAACTCAACTTATGATGTTTGCGAAACATTTGCCAATTATTACCCATTTACTTCGGATCAAGATGTTTACGACGATACCAAAAGAAACCTTCTCGTTAATTTTAGTGAGCAATTTGGGATTTTGCGAAGCACATTTAGATCGTTAGAAGTTTGAGGGCAGTTGTTTGATAACGCTTTCCTGAATTAATGAGGTGCGCATTAAGCGGATTGTTTTAGCTGACTAAGCTGGTATTTTTATTGCTGGTATTACTGTACTCACCTATCAGTTAATGGCGTAATTACCAGCCTAGGGGTGTTACCCAAATATTCATACGAATACCTAAATTGTGCATCGCAAATATTAGCAAAGCAATCCTTTTCCTTGTCGTCCCATCGGTGCCTCAACTGGCTTTGCCACTGGAAGGCTTGAGAGTTCTCCACTTTAATGAGAATCATCTTGGCGACAACATCTCGAGAGTGCACATCAATTGTGCAAATGGTCATAATTTTCTGTCTTTCTCCGGCAGTTAAATCGCCCAGCAACAAGTTAATGAGGGCAACCAATTGGCTAATCTGTTTCCTTTGATAGTCCTTCAATGCGTTTTCATAACCCTCTTCTAATCGGCCAAATGCCATGTTTACTTCGGTGGTCCACCAAATTTGAGTGCCTAAAATTGTCATGTAACAAAGCGCGCATTTTTTTTTCATTTTAAATAAATAAACCCAGGGACGAAATCGGGAAACTCATTAAGTTATTAAATGACGTTCCAGAAGCTCAAAAGTTCAACTTTCCTCTGATTTTTTTGTGAAATGGCTCTGGGAAAACCAGATACAAATTATCTAAAACTTAACAACGTTGACAATATTTTTCCATTGGAAAGCGGAAAGACTATAACTCACATAAGCCTCTATTCGGTAATTATTACGTAATCCGCCCTAATATGGGTACATAATTAAGGAAGTATTTTCTTGTGCGGAAACATGCACTTAATATACTGATTAGCTGAAGGAACACCAGTCTCACAAAGTCTTCCGGATGGTTGAAAAAATAGTTAAGTGTTTGCTCTGTGGCCATTCAGAGAACAGGAAGCAACCAACTATAAAGTGCGAACGGAAAGTGGAATCACGTAAAATATGTAAGCACTCCTTTCATAGATTTTTCCCAACGGAAATAGCTGCTTTAGAGCACGTATTACAACCTTGTAATATTGGTAGAAGCATTATATCCTAATAACATCTATTAAATTTTAACTGCATATTTTCCGAAAGCCATCGACGATGCTATTATTTTATCCTTTGCTCGTTTTTCTAATTTTCCGAACAATTTAAAGCAGCGCCCTATTTCATTATATTAGTAATACTTCTTTAGAAATACATAAAAATGAAAAATATTAATCAGTTTTTTCCGCATAAACGCCGCAAATAACCTTCTACCTATGTTTGTCAGACTGGTTCAGCCCCCATTGGCTTTCGTTACAAAACAGTTTTTGCAATATTTTCATTTGCAAAATCTGCGCATTCTTACTTTGATGCTTTGGTTCGCAACCGGAACATCAAGTGCAGACTTCTTCCTACACATTCGATAGACTAGACGCGTTAGACAAACAAAAAACTGGCAAATATTTAAAAAAGCAATTTTACCACAAAGAGCAGGCTGGGCAGGATAATCATATATCCAAGATTCTCTGGGTTTCTCGTCATAGGTAATGACAGCCTCCCCAAACAGCTGATGGAGCGTATCCCGCATTGCATCAATAACGCGATTCAGCCACACTTCGACTTTTCCACTACAATCGCAAATGTTGACGAACGTCACATGCTCCTCGTTTTCTTTGGAAATCATTTCCTTTGCCCGTTTCGAATTCTTTCCACCTTCTTGTACAAATACAAGTTTCGCCAATGAATCGAATAATTTGGTTAAATGCCTTTGGATAAGGTCTGGTTGGTTTCCGTTCGACAAAATATCAAGCAAATCGGCCGATGAAACGAAATAAAATCGAGGAAAAGCCAGACGCTTCGTTTCCAGGTAATCGTTAAGTGCCTTTTCGCATAAAGTGAGATCTTGCAAAATTGATTCCAGCTTTTCATATAAGCCAGGCTTATTGGTTGCTTTTACGATATTAAGAGTTTTTAGCATCTCATTCAGTACTTCTTTGAAATCTCTATCGATTTTATCAAATCGTCTTGAATCTTCAGGCAGTTGGCTTCGTATGTCTTCTGAACCGATAAAAATGCTTTCCAAATACATCCACTTTCTCTGCACCTCGAAAAACACTTGGATCACTTGATCGGCATTTCCCAGTTTTTTCTGCCAGTCTGACACTTCGCCCAAGAAAAAGTCGATAAATTTCGAGGTCATCATATTTTGCAAAGCGACTTGGTTTTCTTCTAATGTTTCTACGGTCTCTTCCGTTATGGTGAGCAGCCGTAATTTTGAGCGCTCATGGAGCTCAGTACCGAACTCCAGCACACTCCAAGTAGCATTAAGTTCTTTCAACACTTTCTCCATTCCCATTTCCTTAACTGCCTTATCCACGATATTCTTTACTTCGTCCTCAAACTCATGCAAATTGAGAGCTAGAAGATCACTCAGTGTCGTGTCATCGTTCATGACAAATTTCACCTGTTGAAAAGGTAAAATCTTGTTAACTTGTTTCCATAGAGGTAATTTTGAAAATATTTTATTCGTAGATGGAATACAGATAATATTGGAAGATGCGTGAAAAGTATGAAATCTTCAGTGTCTACGGTTACGGTTTCAGGCCGATATTGTATTTCGTGTTTAGTTTTAACTGTCTAGTGTTGGAGATGCTGTCTTTAGGTGCGGGGGTACTCACTGTATAAATCAATGTTGAGAGTACATGTCCAACCTGAGTTGAAGCAGTCACAAAGAAAAAGTATTATTAATATTGATAATACAGAATGATTAAGATATTAAGTGCATTTAAAAGCATGGAGTAAATTACAAGCTAAAATAATAGAGTTCGCTGCTTTATCTTTGAAACTTAATTCAATTATCTAACAAAAATTGGCAAAACGATTTTTTGCAATTTTTTTCGCAATCACATTCTTAAATAACTAGGAAACGTCTCAAGGTTGAATTGCATTCTTATTTTGTAGTTCCAAAAGAAACAACATTAGATAGCGGTAGAAAATAAAACACTGTTTTCCTTGGGACAACTTTTCCGCTATGTTAAATCCGCTCTCAGTGCTCATCACGGTCACCTACAAACCACAGTCGAGACGCGTTGCAATTCTCAAGAAATGGGCTAATATCAACTTAAAAGTAGGAACCCTAAAGAATAGAAGATTCTTTCGTATTACTATGCAAGTATAATGGCTTAACATCGAAACACACCACTGAGTCACCTCTAATATTAATACTCTCATCAATTTCCAGAAGGAAAAATCAGGACCCATGGTAAATAAAATTAAGCGAATAAAATAATTAGTCTTGAAATTCAAATAACCATCGCCAATTTAAAGCTATTAGAAAAAAACTGCCCAGTTCGAACCGAATCCTCACTGTTGAATTCCCACCAGAACTTTCTTGTTGAAACCGAAATAATGAAACTTGTAAGTTTTCGGGGTTTTAGAGGGTCTTGAATTCTTGAATTAGGATCAGGAAAAGCTGATCAGACCATTAATATATTAGAGATTAGGGTCACAAATTAATAGCCAATCACTGCTGATAAAACTAAACACCAGGCACCATGACAGATAACGAAGATTGGACACCCAGTGCACAACAAAATCCACCAAACCCAGCACGGAATCGACAAAGATAATGGAAAGACAACTAATCTTCAATCAATCATACAAATGGTAAAATAACCCACACAATTGAATCTTCCTGCACTCTCTTTGCTCAACCAGGCCGACCAGTCAAACGCGTTTTATCTTACCAAACGCAATCCCATTGAAACATTTCCAATTATAAATTACATATATTTATTACCGCCGTTCTCTTTTTTTCCTTCTACTATGGGTTTTGCAAAGTTACTGTGAAATATCCAAACAGTTAGAAAAGAAAAATAGCGTTATAACAAATATCAATGTTTATTTCAAGCAACACTGCAGAGAAATGTTTTGCAACTCAGTATGAAACAATTATTTTCTAACCTTTATCGAAGAATTATCGGAAACTATACGATCGAACAATCACTGACATAGAATGGGAAAACTCGATAGTTTGATGTTGCCTTGAATACAATGCAAGCACGAACCGAACTCGGATGAAAACCATCATTAAATAAATCAGTTACATTTGCGTTATTTCAATATCGCCGATGGTCACAATATCAATATGTTTCTAACTAACAGCAAATGTGGACGATTAATTGAATATATTAATTAAAGTTGCATGGTGAAGAGAAAATGTAGTTCTAAAACAAACGTTCCTACTAGTGACACAACAGTGAGTTATTTCTCGCGATTCAATAATTATTAGACAATTAATCGAAATTCAGTCCCCTTAAATTCAATTTTAACCAACTTGAAGAAACTCCATTCTTTCAAAACACGCCATTACATAAAAAAACGACCTTTGATCCAATTACCTTGGTAGCTTGCATTAACTGTATCCAGTGCCTATCTCTTATCGCTGGGTTTTGCAATTCAGTGACCGCCCTCAAAGAGGTCAACATATTCTTAATAGTCGCATCCAGCTTAATGTAAGCATCCCAGCCTTTAATTTCTTTGTCCATTTGTCGTATTTCCTTTCCATATTTCTTACATTCCATTTCCATATTTTCCACATCAATTTTCTTCCATGGTGTTAATTTCCATTCATCGATACAGGACCGGACAACGTTGATAAAATCCCAAAGTTGTTTTAACTGTTTCAGTTCTTTGCGAGTTGCTTTCATGGCTTTAAACTCGGGCAATGTGAGTTCGAACAAATTCGCCTGTTCTTGCAATTTGCTTTTTTCTGCTTCCAGTTCAAAACATTCCCCATGAGTTTTGTCCAATAAGAGGTAAATATTTGGACAGTCCCAATTGAAGAATTGACGATTTTTAAATTGCTCTCGATACATGTTTTGACGAATTTCGAATAGATTAATTCGCCGTTTGATTGCATTTACTTGAAGAGCTTGTAAAGGTGCAACCGCTTGCTTGGTTGTAGCGGCCACCTGAAAATTTATTAAAATATAAAATATAAATAAATCCCAACATTGTTCGATGACGGATATAAAAAAATGTTGTATAATTAAGATATGATCTTAGCTGTTGATAACCCATGAATAATGATCTTGCCTTTTTACAATGATTCCACCTGTCGGGAATTTCCTGTAACTGCACTATAACTTCCTCTGGAAATTCAACATTATAGTCCTTCAGCAGATCCATGATCTGTTTCAGTGGGTCAAACATGCTATCGGTTTCCACTTGTCGCTCTTTAACTTTGAACAGATATCCCATTACTTTCAGAAGACCATCATAGTCATCCTCGGTCAATGGGACCTAATTCAAGATAAACAAATATCATTCGTGTACAGATTTGGTATCATTCCTGAATACCTGCATTGCAGCTACAGCTTCCTTGATAAAGGTCTCCAAATCATTTAAACTATCTATCACACGATTGTACAGATGCTGCTTGAATAAGTTGCCCCATTTGCAGACCGCATTTAAAATAGCTTGTCTTAGTGGTCGTACATCGACCCGCAACCATGCAGCCAATAATTTTTCCGAAGCTATTGTTTCAACCTGCAGCATGAAATGCTAAACGTTGCTCAGTGATACTGAAGTGACAAACCTTTTTATAGAGATCTTCATAGTAATCGATTTGTTCTTTAAATTGCTTAATTGTGGGTGGTGACTCCTTTATCGCATCTTCACCTTCTTCCCTAATTTTGTACACTTCTTCGATACTAAGCAAGCGTCCGTACATTAGAAACTGGCGCAAAAACTCCTGTCTATCTTCTTCCCACAAAACATAATATTCGTCGAATTCCTTCTCATAATTATGAGCCGCTTCCATACTCGCAGCTACTTTTGCGCAAATTTCAAGTTTCTGCTGTGTTATCTCTGCGTTATCTTTTATAATGTCGTAATATGAATCTACAATTTCCGGGTCCGCATGCTTCATATAATTTCCCATAGAATATATATCTTCCAAGAGATCTGAAAGTAATTATGCAGCTCATTCGGTTCCCCCACAGGTGATACAAAATACCCTCAATGAAAATGACAAAGTTTCCTGGATCTTCAATAACAACAGAGGGCACAAAGACAATGTTGGGTTCATGAAGTTCCATTGTGAGCTCCAATAAAGGATTCACAGCAGGATCCCCCATTTCACCCAGAAAACTAAGTTGATTAATTCTAACAGAATTGACAATGAGATCCTGAATAGCGCCGTCAAGATTCCGCAAGTAGGGCGCCCACATGACCAATTTTTCACCTTTTTTCTTTTCCTCCTCGGCTTTTCTTGCCGCCTCCTCTTCTTCCTGTCGCAACTCTTCTTCGGTTTTCTTTTTGGGTTTTTGTTTTTTCAATTTTTCCTTGCCTTTTTTGCCTTTCTTTGTGTCTGGAGGAGGCTCTTCTTCTATAGGCTGTTCTTCTAAAATATTTTTCAATTCAGACATATTCAAAGTTTCGTTCCGTCATTGATTTGAAATATTTAGGTGTTTTATTAACACGCTTTCTAAACTTTGGCACACGTTATTTGAAATATTCTAGGTAAGCTTTCTTGAATCAATAATTATTTTCTTTTACCTGGCACGGGTGGTTCTTCTGGCTCCATGGGTTCTTTGAAGAACAGTTCATAATTTTCCGCAATAATCCGCTCTAGTTCGGCTGATGAGGCTGCTACTTGATCTTGTCTTTTCTGCAAACGTTCACTTCTGTCCTCGAGGAACAGAAGATTTTCTTTTTTACCGTCTCTTCTTTCAAATAGTAGCTGCTCAGACCAAGCTTTGATTCCTGCTGTGAAGCTGGCCACGTTTGCTTGGGCTTTCTTAACCCGGTCGGTTAGTTCTTTAACAGTATTATAGATTTGCAAAATAATATCAGGATCTGAAATAAAACAAACATTTTTTAAAGCTTATGTCTGACCATTTTATGGACATTTATACCCACTATTAGTGTCCCATGTATAATTGTCGGTTACTTCCAATAAGAGTTCATCAACAGCTGCGACATCGTGTCGTATCAAATCAAACTCTACATCTGTCGTTCGTTTTTTTAGATAATTGTACCATTCAACAATTCTATTAAATTTCAAAATTGCCTCGTGTAACTCTTCGACTTTGTGAAATAAGGCAGAAGCCTCCGGCGGCAGATTCTCAATATTCATACTTTTCAAATATTTCATTTCTCTTAAAATTGCTTGCAACTCTTTATCGAAGTTAAGGTGCAATAAATCTTTATTGTCACGTAAAAGTTGAAATTTAGACATGCTAATGCGAATTTGTTCTGGAACTTTAGCAAACCACTGCTGCAGTAATGTTGTTTGCTCTACGCCCAAAAGCTCGAGCATTTCGTCATGTTTTTTGAAGACAAATTGGGTGTTTTCATACGTAAGAATCTCATCTTCGATTAGTTTGAATTCTTCACCTGGTCGTGATATTCGATTGTAAAGCCTTTGCAACCAAAGAATGGTTCCTGCCAATGGGGGAAAATTCTTGTCTATTGGAGCGCCCTCCTTTTTGGCTTCATCAAACAACTCCTTAACAGTATCAAGTTCTTCGTCAAACATTTTTGTAATTATAGGATATTTTTCTTTTACAATCTCACTTATGTACGGTCGGGCGTACATGTTTGCGGCAATATTTAAGTATTTGAACATTGTTTCTAGATTATGGCAATCATCAAAACCTTGAGTGAACACGGCTGCCAAGCGTTTGTCGTAATCAGAACAGATTTCCTCAAATTGTTTTAAGTCCCTAACCAGCGAATCATCCTTCGTATCCAAAACATCATATTGAATATTTTGAAACAAGCTGTAAGCTTTGTTAAACTCTTCAAACACTTCGAGGCACTTTGCAGACAAGTATCTCCCCTTAATTCCTCCCATTTCCACTTTTTCCAATTTCGAAAAATCGATGTACGTCTGTAGAATAGACTTAACCAAATTCAACCTTTTGCGGAAATCGATCAATCTTTGAAACACATTCCTCCTGTGAAAAGTCCAAGGTTTTTTCACGGGAATTTCGTCAGTACTTGAAGTGGGTGGACGATAGTACGAATCCAAGTTATTTCTAACGTATTCGAAAGCTTGCTCGAATTTTTCGAGGATATCAATGGTAACGTTAATTTTCTCGTACATTTCATCCGGTTCACCTTGGAAAATACTGCTGGGGTCTAAAGTTCTTTCTGCAGAATCGATCAGCAGATTGACAATCATTCGGAACAGAATCACTATTCTGTCACTTCTAGCGTAGTATTTAGAGTTAGCCCATACTAAACCAACCACATGAACCTGAAAGGATGATAGATGATCAACAGTAGTTTGGGTTTGGTGCAATACAAAGTCTATTTCCTCAAAGTACAATTGCTGGCACAAATTGGTACAAGCTTACCATCGGCTTAACATATGGCTCAGTTTCAAGAAACTCATTTTCATCAAACTTGGAAAAGTGTGGCACTAGTGTTTTAAGATATTTAGCGATATCTCTGGTTTCCACTAGAGCTGCTACAATGTCCTTGAATAATTCTTGATAGGCCTTTGAGTAGGTACTTTTGGTGAGCTCTAAATATTCACTCATTTTCTGAAACAAACCAGAGCATATTTCTCTTTGTCGTGACAAAATGGTAAATTTGTTTATACGAGAATTCTAAACATGTTGCAGTAGATTCTGTTCATAATTTTAAGTCTGAACTTTAAAGCGACTTGTTATAGCTACCTTGACTCGAGGGTCGCATAACTGATCATAAATTGATTCCATATTTTTCGTTCTGGCATTCCAAAAGTCGATTTCGTTAGCCGGAATTGGATTTACACCGTTTGCAAAACACAGCTGAGACGTTTGCTTCAAAACTTCAGCGCAAATTGCAGACCATTTCATGACCGCATTTTCCATTGTCGTTTTTAGCGGCAAATTAACTTCTTCTCCGTTCGAATCTGCAAAGGCTTGAGTTGCTTGAAAAACTGTCGACAAGCCTTGAGGCATAGGGAGAATTACTTGACTTTTCATTGCACCCTTAATCTGAAACGCAAGCACGTGAGTAATGAGAATGCAAAAAGACGAAGACATTTCTTGAGAGGTATTAGAGATAATGCCAAGGCCCGTTAAGAAACGGAGAAGTTGAAAACATTTAATTACTTTTCGCCAAAAAGAGGTAAAAGTAAATGCGTTTATTATGAATCCCATTTTATCAAATTTTTGAACAGTCGACAAAATAATATTGATGTAAAGACAAAATAAGGGGTGCTAAACATGTAATTTTGCAACAATAGAAGATTACTTTGCCGACTACTAGCATAAGTAATTACTCTACTAGTTTAAAGTTTTTGTGCAATATTTAATTAAGTACCCAGTATAGATAGATAATCATGCAAGAGTCGGAACTTAAGCTGCTTGAAGCACAATCTGAAATAGAAAATGGTGAATCGAACGACTCACATTTTCTTTGTGGTTTTCTCGTAAAACATCTTGTCGAATTGCAAATGATGCTTTCCGATATTAACACTTCCGTGACCGAGCTGTTTGAGAAATTGGAGAACCAAGAATAATTTGCCACACAATTTATTTTTAATATATAAATGTTTATTCCAATTTTACAACGAACAAGACCTTTAGCAACAGTACCCAGGTTACAAATTAAGTAATATTCTAATTAATTAAATCACGCACCTAAATGACTGAACATCTGTATGTAATACGATAGAACTTTGAAAAATAAACAGATTACTTAGAAAGAGTGTCATCCCTAAAGACTTTTAAGGTGCCATGGTATTAGAATTGCAAAACAATGGAAAATTTAACTTTGTAGAATGGATAAACCGCCAATAGTTCAGTCGCGCTACACTTTAACAGGAAAATAATAAATGGGCACCATCTGGCTATACGTAATAATGAGCTAATGTAAATTACGATTCTATAAACTATTTATGAAAAATCTCAAAGGTAATCCTGCAGCCAGGCACATGTTGGCTGACAAACATCGGTAACGTCAGCGTTAGATCGTATTTGAGGTTCATTTTCTGATTATGCTATTCAAAACTTCAAATTTTTATTATGTATGTAGAAGTATTCTTTTCTCGCTCAGTTCCCGATTAATCACCAGAACAGTTTCTGAGATACGTTTCCAGACGCTTTTACTTTTCTTTCTATTAAATTTTTACTAGCAGAGAGACGTAAATGATTTTTTTCGAACTGCCTTTTGAACGGTTATACGTCATTTAGTGGTATCCCTGGGTCGCCGGCGCGTATGGGTTTTTGAGTTTATTTTCATTTTTTTATGCCTATATCTTTGTACTTATAATCTAAAGTCGCGTGTTTCCACGCATATTTTACTGCGGTACAGCTAGGACTCAAATTGAATCTCACATTCAAATACAACCACTTTTTGGGCTATTTCTTTTTTCCAGTTCTCTTTCCGCTGTCCCTAAAATGAACCCTACCAGATTGTTCCACAGAAGCTCTACGTGACTGGTCGTCTTCATTCACTTTGTTCTATTGTTTGTATCTTTCCTTTCTTCTTCATTCTGGATTTTGTCGGTTTCCCATCTTGTAGCTGTATTGTATCTTTTATATATTTTTATTTCTGTCGTTGATATTGTCTCTGTGACTCTTGTGAAAATTTCTGGTGAGTAGAAATTAGAGAGTGGAGAAGACGAGGGGAGGCATTAGTCCAGGAGTGGACCGAAGAAGAAAGAAGAAGGAAGCACTTTCATAGCTTCGGAATGAAGACCTTCAACGTGAACGATAGAAGAAAACTGCTGAAGAACTAGCAGGTAACAGATAGAAGTAATGTAGCGTAAACGCCCGACTATTGAAACGCTTCAACTCCAACCGGACATTAGTGAGACGTTTGAAAATATTGAACTTTTTCAACTTCTAGCCGATATGACTTTTTCAACACATAGTCCAATCCATATCCAATATGACCCAAATATACTGGGTAAATTTGTGAAAAACCTGGTTTAACTGTTGGGATATCAGTAGCAAAACTTTAACAGTTTAGCATATATGCAGAATGCTGCTTATTCTCATAAGGTGCAATCGTTTATTAAAACTAAAACAATCAATGAACTCGGCATTAACTCCAACTGACTCTATTTGGAAATCCAAACTTACCTGGTCGACAGTATTCTTAAAAGTTCGCACATGTGAAACCACATCTTGAGCGACCACTTTCGGCCACCCCACTTGATTGGCCGGATTCGACATGAGAGGAACAAATACTCCCTCGACCAATACCGACAAATCCTCAATGGGCTTACCAGACATGTCACCGAAGGTCAGCACTGACCTAAAGTTTTCCATTGTCACTGCATCCGGTTTTTTTCGAATGAAATAAGTGAATTTCTGTTTGATTTGGGCATTGAACGATGTGAATGGTGTAAGCAATCCGGTTGATGGTATGGTTATGAGGAGCATTTTTTGATTGGGGTCGTCAAGGAATTTTAAAATCATTTTCTACAAAAAATAGTACTTTGATTGAAGCGAGCGATTGAAAATGCGAGCAGTGAAAGACTTTTCGACAAATTACGTTGTCGCATACTTTAGTTGAGTAAATTTATGGCAAAAAATATTTATTAATTTAATTAAATAAATTCATTAAACAATAATAAACTTTCAAAAAACTATTTAAAAAAGTTGATTTTTCTCACCCGATTCTCATCTACCCCTATCATTTTGTTCCATTTCTCCTGCTTAAGCTTATAAGACTTTGTCAGGTAATTGAGCAGGAACTCGAGTCGCTCATCCTCAGCATCATCTTGTTTGTCGTCCTTCTTTTTATCGTCGCTCATGGCACGCAATTCGGCACGACAATTTACATTCCAAATAAGAACGATGTCATAATGAAATTCAATGAAATGTTTGAAAAAGGTAGCTAGTTCGCTAGGCAACAACAAGCTATTGATAATGCCGGTCGATAAAACATCCCTGAGGTGTAAAATTCGTTGAAAAGGTGTCGATTTCGATGACATGCTCAATTTTCCAGGAAAACTACAGAGTGTCTTTAAATGATCCAGCCAAAACGATAATACTGATCCTGAATTCATAACCTTTTTTTGCCGGAATATTTGGACGTCCCTTTTAAAACGCATTTGAAAAATAAAGTTATGTTTCAGAATATTTAAAAAAATTGTCTGAAACGTGACATCACGACTCTTCTACTCTCAATGAAACGAAAGAAAAGACAGAAAGGTTAAATATTATCCTCTGGAATTTTGCAACAAATAAAAGAAACATCACGAACAATACATATTATTATGTCGTTTTAATAATTATTTAATAATATAATCGTTATAAGGCTGATTCAAAATTGGCATCATTCCTTTTAAGGGGTAATAGGGACCCACTAGAAATTATTTATTTAAAAATTTTAACACTAAAAACAATGCACTTTTTAGGGTCACAAAAAAATTGCATTTTAATAAGGAATATCATTAGCGATAATGGTAATTTTTAACACCAATGCATAAACCAATTTTCATTCTAGGTGAGCTCAATAATAAATGGCTGCGCTCGGAACAGGAAAGGCTCTTTTTGGAATCGACTTTTTTTTTTCATCGACTATGGACCTTCTACATGGTACGCAGCGCAAAGCTGGGAAACTCTACGCCATACTCAACTGGACTGCAACGATATTAGGATGATTGAGAACCTCAATTGGGCTCAGACGGCCGAGGTTCAGAAGGGATCGCTGGGGACGTATCGAGTGGAAATCCGAAGAGCAGTTCGTCCGGGCTATATCCTCTCACCCCTCTCATTTAACCTATATTCAGATAAAATATTTAAGAAAACTTTAGAGGACACCGAATATGGAGTGAAGTCAACGGCGTCCTCCTGACCACAATTAAATACGCAGATGATACCCTGATATTCTGTGATGGCATGGAGGGTTTAAAACAGTTAATTAATCAAGTAAGTGCAGCTGGAGTGAAGCAGGGACCGAACATTAATGTCAGCAACGATATCACGACATGGATAAAAATGAAAAACCTGGAAATAAACCAATCTCTAATCAAAGCTACACGACACTACTATAAGGACAATTTGGYTAMAATCAAAACGGGTAATAATACATATACAGAATATATCCTAACATCGAAAGGATTAAGACAGGGGTGTTTCCTGTCTCCACCCTATKTAAAATAAATCTAGACCGATTCCTACAACGGTGGATAAGAAAATGTGGAAATATGGGTCTGAAAGTGGGAGACGAGACACTCTACAGCCTTTTTTCGCAGATGACCAGGTAGTGAGACCATAGCTGAGGACAAACAAGATCTGAGCTATACGACAAGAAAGTTAAACATACATAAAGTAAAACGTAAGTTTAACAGACATATACATAGAAGTGGCAAGAACGAGGTGTAACAGAATKAAATTTCTATTCTGTAACAGTGATATCAATCTCAAGCTACGACAACGTATGGTGAGAAGCTATATTTGGTCTGTTCTCCTCTATGGGRTGGAAAGCTTAAGGTCCAGCTTTCTGTTTAATAGATTGGAGGCATTAGAGATGTGGATTCAGCGAAGGATGCTGCGAGTTTYATGGACCGATCTGCTAACCAACGAAGTCTTGCAAAGAGCCAGAACAGAACGACAATTGCCAACAACAATAAAATTTTGCTTGGATAAAAATTGAGCCATCTACAACTCACTCTCAAAAGAAAAAAAGTGGTATTAGTAAGAAGCAGATGTCGTGGCTGAGAAACATCAGACAGTGGACATGAGTTCATGAAGCTGGTGAGCCTTTTAAGATTAGCAGAAGATCGAGAAGCACTCTTCCCAGTAATCACCAACGTCCGGAGGACCGAGCCAGGTATATAAAGAGGACTAGTAAAGATCCAGGCTCGCAAATTTTGATAATAATGAAGTAGCATTAAATTAACATTTTATTATTATTATTATTATTAGTACATTTAAATTTGTTATTTATGAAAACATTGGGCACTTGAGCGTATGCTTGCGAATGAATTTTAATTGAACTTTTACAACTCCCTAGTCTGAATTGTTGGAAAATCGCTGTTTAGATAAACTAATGCGCTCGATCTCAAATCCAAAAACAACATTAAATTAACACAACAATTGAAATATTATTACCCTTCGTAAAACCTCTTATTGCAGCAATAAATAACAAAATTGTGGTTAATAACTGCAATAAATCCCTTCTACAAGTGTTATTAGCAGTGATATGTATCGTGATCAATTCTCCACATATTATTGCACAATATATGTCGGTATCTTATTTAGTATAATATTTACTTAATACAAATTAAAATCCTTGCTCAATTAAATATTCTGAACAAGTATAATTTATATAGGATCAATTCCAATAGAGCGCCTCGATCAAATAGGATTGCAATAATGATCTCTTGCGAAAATACAGAATATTTATATAAGAAAGCAGTAACTTATCCAAAAAACGAACAGTTAAAGAAGAACTACAAAAACGACGTAAAATTATTGAATAGCTATAAACAGCATAGTTAGAGGCAAGAAGAATAGTTATAACACCGAGCATATAAGAAACAAAATTAAAACTAATTTAATCAAAACGAAACAACTACGGAATATCGTAAATTCGAAAATCGGTGAGAAAAAATAGAAAATTTTCATTATTAATCGGCTCATAAACGTCGAAAACGAAATAACTAAAGAACTAAGCAACAGATCAAATTATATAAACAACTATTTCCGTAACGATAGGACGAAAACTAAGCATCAAAATCATAAGTAATAGCATCAAAACTTCGACAAATAAAACAATTAAACTGCCACAATCTGTTACCAATACATTGCTTATAAAACCTGCAATTTCAATTGAAATTTAGAAAACCATTTAATATATGAAACTCAAAAATGAAGGCATGGACAAAATTAATAGAAAATCACCAAAATTAACAGCAACAACTTATCAGATCATTGGCCTATATTTTCAACTCGTTTTCAACCAGATTGGTTGTTCTACTCATCAAATAGAAGAAGTGCAAAAAACAACAAGAAATAAGAATACTTATGGGAGATTTTAACGCAAAGGTAGGACAGAAAGCCACGGGAAGAAACACCGGAAACGGATTCTTTTTTGTCTTTTGCTACGAATACTTGGTTCCAATTTCCAGAAAGACGCCTATATACATGAAAATCGCCGCAAGATGGACAACATGGTACCAGTGCGGAACCAAACAGATTACATTTTGATAAATCACCGATTCCGGAACAGCATTAGAACCGTTAAGACCTACCCAGACGCTGGCATAAACTCAAACCACAACTTACTCTGCTCCAAAATTCCAAGCGAATGTGCCTCAAACCCCTCAGAAACTCGGAAGCCCGTGAACAGATATATCAGCAAATAAACACAGAAATTCACAAAATAAAGAAAACATCAAATGAAAACAAAACCATCAATGAATACTGGCATGAGATACAGAGGTTATAGAACAAGCAAAGGATTCCTTAAAACCATCTAAGAGAGTTGGAATGGAATCCCGAAGAAGAAATAGAAGATCTCCTGATAAAACTCTACAGCGTCAATCTCCATAAAAAAAACTCAAATATACCTCCGGAATCAGAATACATGTTCATGTATGAACATGAACATGTTCACCTACTTAACGACTCGGACGTAAAATTCCGCTATCAAGAATAACATGGCACATACTGTCCGAGACAACGAAATTTACAAACGCCCCAGAATGCTAAAGGCAGAGGTCAAGAAAGCAAAAGAACAAGCAAAAAATAACAAGGCGCCCGGACCAGACCAAATTCCTGCTGAACTACTTAAACTTCTGGACAAAGAGAGTATTACTTGCTCAACCGCACTAATAAAATAAAGTTCCGCACAAAGGAAAAATGCCGATTGGCTAGAATCGTTTTCATAACATTACCAAAGAAGAGTCGACCCACTAAATGCAGCGATTTCAGACTTATTAGCCTGATGAGTCACACGCTCAAGATCTTTTTGCGAATAATACAAAACGGAATATTCCCACTATGCGAAAGTAAAATGAGAAACAATTTGGATTTAGGTCTGGGGACCAGAAATGCTTTATTTTGTATGAGCGTTCTACTCCAAAAAAGCTGTGAATTGAATGAATGGAAGTAATAGGAGTAGACAAATTAAATACCTACACTACAACCAAGTAGCATCCGTCCGAATTGAAGACAATCATACTTAAAAACTGCCCACTAAACGTGGAGTACGACAGGGCTGTGTTCTATCGGCGAGCCTTTTCAACCTATACTCGGAAGCAATATTCAAGGAAGCTTTGAATGATAGCCAAGATGGTATAAGACTCGGCGAAGAAACAATCGACAATATTAGACACACTGATGATACAGGCATGCTCGCAGAGAATCTGGAAAACCTCCAAACATTTGTAAATCCAGTAAATCTGTAAATCAACACTACAAAAACAAAGTGGATGGCAGTCGGAAAAATAAATGGACATCGACTGCAGATTTAGATACGTGAATAGGAGGTAGGGCGCCTAATGCTGGCTTAATGCGAATGCGGACTCTGATGAAGAGATAACAACACGGATTGAAATATTACGCAAAACCTTTATGACATGGAAACCAGTTTTATGTAATAGAAATATGTCAATGCATCTTCGTAAAAGGGTCTTAAGATGTTATGTGTGGTATGTCCTACTTTATGGTTGCGAGACATGGACGCTAAAGGCCAAAACGATGAATAGAATAGAAGCATTTGAACTGCGGTGATACCGACAGATTATAAAAGTGTTGTGGAGGATCTCCTCAGAATGAGAGACACAGAACGGCAACTGCTGGAAACTATAAAGGGGAGAAAAACGTACGAGCAAAAACGAGTACTTTGGACACATAATCAGATGATCTAAATACCAGCTACTGGGACTCATAATACAAGGTGAAAAAGTGGAAGGAAAAAAGGTGGATAGGGCGAAAAAAGCTGTCGTGGCTACACAATATCAGACAATGATGTGGCCTTTTATCCGAAGAACTATTTTGCTCGGCACCCGATAAAGCAATATTTCAAGAAATCCTAAGCATGATGATAGCCAACGTCTGAAGACAGACAAGGCACCAGAAGAAGAAGAAGAAGGTTGTTCTACACTAGTTACTTTTGGATTGAATACTCGTTACTTCGGATCAGTTATTGAAGTACTCATTTTAGTCGTGTCTTAAGAAAGTCGGTATATATTGGTATTTTATTAGTGCCCTTCAGATTTGTTACACGGACACTTTAGTCTACAGTCTACAAAAAAGTAAGAGTAAATAATCAGACTATTTTAATTCATTTTTAAGTCAGTTGTTAATTGATTCCCTATTGTACCATCTATTGTTATTGTAGATATTGTCCGCAGGCATTTTGAACCCACACGGTTGTTAATACCTGCAATTTCTAAATAAATTTTCTTTTTGAAACAATTTTTGAAAGCAAGTCATTTCACTCTGTGAAGCAAGATGCCACACATCCATAAATAAATTTTGGTACAGTGGTAATACAGTGCAATTATCAAATTTAATAAATGTCTTTTTACAAATATGCAGTTTTGAAATAAGTTTAATAAGAAAATAAAGTCGGACATAACACAAGATTTTGCTCATCAAGGCCTAAAACTGCTGTTGGTCTTTTCTTATGACATTGATACAGTGGCTCATTCAACACGAGACATTCGAGCGGTTTTGTCACAAMTGGAGAAAGAAGCAGCTTATCTGGGTAACGAACTACGAGGAAACGAAGAAAAAACAAAATTCATGGTAGTTACAAATAATTAGGCCTCGAATTAGGCAGAATATAACTATCAGACTGAGAGCAATAGTGGATAAGACTCACCCATAGTTGTAAAGCCAGGAAAGAACAGTCSGATACATTACATCTGGAGTAATGACAAAAAATRCATTAGCCAATATTTAGATTTGTTTTTTTTTATTGGAATCTGATGTGTGATCGACTAAACCTGAAAACTGTGAACGATTAAATACCTTGTACAAAAAAMTAAATTTTTTATTTTCATTTTCCAATAGTTATCAAAATAATCCAAACTCACCCAAACAGACACATTGTGAACGATTTACTTTGCTTTCTTCCATAACGTTGCTAATTATGCGATAATTACATGAGGGGTGCGTACAAGAACCATTTAAATGAACTACAGAAAGTTCATAATCGATTATTAAAAATTCTTAATAAAACCAAAGTGTCTCAAGACAATCCCATGAATCTAAATCTAATGTTTGCATACGATGTCGTAAATGATTATCACGCCTCACTGAAAGAAATATACCAACAATCTAATAGCAGTACGAGAAATAAGTGTATTTAGAGATTTCTATTTGTAACCACAAATATTGAAGAACAGACTGAACTTAATTGATTATTTTCTAGCTACTGATCAAGCCAACGTAAAGTCAAAGACCTGATTTTTTCATTTGGGCGTTCTTGTAGGAAGTACATGCCTAAACATAGTCGTCAATTAAATCATATTTATCCAAAAACCTTTCCCAGATTATATCCAAACGATACATACCTGAAACGCAACAGAAATAACAGGCAGTGCAGTAACAAACAAGCAAGTAGGAAATTACATTCGTTAAATAATTCCTTAATATATTTTTCTTCTATCCATCACCTCAACTATGTATCTGATGAAATGTTTTGTACGCGTTTGTGTTGGAAATTTAGTCTCCCTTTCACCTTCTAATAACGCAATGCCGTAATAACGTGTCATTGCCGGTTTTATTATAGGGGAAAACACGATATTCATATCGGTTTTAATGAAAAACCTATAAATAAAAGCCTAATGGCGTTTTAATTATGTCAATCTATTGGGAGTGTTATATAAAGCAACTGTTATTGCCAGGCGTTCTCTATAGCTACCGCGCTCTATGTGACAAACTGCATAGTTTTGCAGTTTGATCAAGTGCCCTAAGCAATTGCAGTGAATACCTGGCAAGTGAAATGGGTAAGTCTGGTGATAGAAATAGTTATATTAATGTCTATTATTATTAAGATATAATGTACTAAGTGTTGTAAATCTAATTCAGTGGTTATTAATCATTGTAGGAAAATGTATCCACTATAGTTTGAATGGGCTCAATAAAACTGTACATTACAAATTATTAATTGTGTGTAAAAAAGTGTTTAAATTAGCTTGAAAAGTAAAAAAGGGTTTGATAATTAATTTAGTCAATCGGATTTGTTACTGTAGACCCTATTGCCCAACAGAAGGATACCACCGACTTGCAACAATAATTTTTTGAATGAAACCTATTCATTTGAGTTTCTTCTAGTTTTCAGAGCACATCTGTATATCGCAGCAATGTTGATGATTCTGCTGATCCACAAAGCAAAAAGTCTTCCATATCTGGACCCTGTGGACGAATGCATTCTTACATGCGATGCTTGCTACAAAGGGGAATTTTTGCTAGACTGTGCAAACGACTGCATCTTCCAATCAGGCGACGTGGGTCAACCATTTAAAAACCACTGCCCACAATTTGATATGAAACTACCCAGTGTTCAAATGGTTTAGCAATGACGTCAATAGAAATATTGTAAACGAGCTGCTCATTTAATACAGTAAAGCAATGGAGTAATTAATTACGCATGGCCCTTTTAAGTGTTTTAAAAAATTTAGTGATTAATGGATATTTTAGAACCCAGTTAATGATGTACTGACTTTAAATTTGGGTAATCCGTTCTAACTGGTTAACGTTAATATTGTTAACGTGATGACACGTTTAATAACAAATTCGTTGACCAGTTACCCTATTACTACAACTTATTTATCGGCTTATTGAATTTCTTATTAATCGGCAAACAAAAGCTTTTAGTCAGTATACATCAAAATTCCGTCAAGCATTACGATATTATGGCACATCAATATCCCGTGCACAAAATTTAAATCACTTTTTCTCATTTTTCGGCTTTGCAAAACAAATGGAAGCCGATAATGAGAGTGGGGTCAAAAATAATATTGTCACTGATTTATAATATTAAAAACCCATAAAATTAATATTCACTTTACAGCTCCCCATCTATCTGAATCAAATAGTCCAGTAGAGCTATAAACTCGACTCTACTCTTACAATCGTACAATACATTCAAGTACTAATTTTACACCCTGTGGATAAATATTAGATCTTATAAAGTCTTGAGATCCTATGCAAGTTTATTCTGATTACATATGTATTCATAAGTTAAATGCGAACACATTGTACATTGTAAATCCACAAACAATATTTAAAGAGAAAGAAAATATGAACAAAATCAATACGAAGATTGGTCACATGTTTACAAAAAGCCTGACAAAATAGTAGGAAAAATACAACGTTTGCATTTAGGCCCTTTTCTTCTAATCAGAGTATTGGAAAACAATAAAATTGAAATAAAAAACCCGGAAGTGATTTATATCAACGAGATTAAAACCAAAAACGTTGTTGCAGATGGCTCAAAATCATCGGCATCTCTTGGAATAAAAATCAACAATCATAATGATTATCCAGGGCTCATATCTTACAAACTTGAAAAACCAGCTCAACATCAAATTATTCCTTAATCCAATTACACGACTTAACTTCACTAATATCACAACATAACTCATTAAAATTGCAAACTGATTATTTAATTACAATAATACACCTCTTTTACCGCTTAAGAATTAAGTGCGAATTCGCACGAATGATTTCGGATATAGTTGACGAGCTGCAGTACGTTGCAATGTAATTGAATCATTCGCTCCTTTTTATACGATTTCTGGCTAAAGCAGTTCAGACGAAAACGCATCCAAAGGACACCGGCCCACAGACCACACAATATTATGTCCACAAGAAAGGCCCACCGACTACACACTATTATATCCAGAAGAACGGTCCACAGACTATACACTATTATATACACATATATCACACGACCGGCCTAATGGAACGTTTACGTTCGCGGGCGGCTGTGTGTGTGCGAGAGAGAACTGAGCGCGTGTCTTTGGCTATACCAGAAAAAACTGTGCCGTAACGCATTCCATTCAACTGGCACCATGCCATAAGAAGTTACGTTAGAAGTAAGTTAAAAAACTTACTGGCCCCGAAAGTTTTGTCGCTTGGAAGGCAAACTTGTTGGAGGCCTAAGCCGCCCACCAGGCGCAACACACCAATTGTAATACGAGATGGTCCAAACCATTTTTAAACGATATGAAACATTGGAGTAAAGGAAATTTCAGATATACCAACTTTACCATAGAAGCAAGAACAGGCCATGCAATTTTCCGCAAGTACTTGAGGTCTTACTACATCAGTACCTACTTATGCTGGTCACTAATGACTGGAAATTGTTGGTGTTAAGTGGATGTAAAAACCACAGGTAAAAGCAACCATAGATGCTAGAATTCTTAGGATACCCTGAAGAAATACCTATCAGTGGTTCCCCATCGGCGAAGTTGATTAGTGAGTCAGCAACAACACGCCACCGTCCCTACTATTTAGTAGGGTTACTTCCAACACTTCCATGTTTTACTTTACAAAGAAATAGTTGGCCAATAATACCACTTTGCCTCACACCTCATTTATTGTGAAAAATAAAACATGAAATACTTATTTCAAAGTTAAAAAATCCAATTAGTCGGTGCTTGTTAAATCATGATGAGTCAATCACACCAATATGATTACCCCTCAGTAATAGCCAGCAAAGGCCGAAAAACAGTAAACATGTAAAAAATATAATCTGAAGCAGTTGTAAAACTCACCAATAATTAAACATTAAATATCATGATATACCAATTCAAAAACTTGAAACTACCAAAACAAAAGAGTCTAAGATACAAATTTTGAACCAAATAATAGAAGAGCCAAATGGTTATTAATAGAAGCTTGTGTCCAACAGTGGACAAGACAAGCGATGTTATAAGATGCCAAATTCCTATCGGCTTCGAGGACATCATAGAACATCACGCACCGCCTCATCGAGTTGAGGTCCACGTTTGTTAAGTTGATCGTGGGGAACATGTTTTGGAACATCGACGCGATCATCGATATGAACCAATTTAATTTC